TCAAAGCCCAGCCCTGCCCCAGGGCCAAGGAAGAGTCACAGCCCCCAGGGTGACTCACTGGGGACAACAGTGGGGACACAAAACCCAAACTCTGCTCCAGGTCCCCCTGGAGAAACCCCAGAGCTGCGGGAATTCCTGATGATCCCAAAACACAACTCCTGAGACGAACTCGGAGTGGAAGGGATGAAATTACACCAGGAGCTCTGCAAGCCCAGCTCTCCCTCCTCCTCCCTTCCCCAGCGAGTGCCAGCGATGTCCCAACACCCCAAGTGCCTTTCCAAGGAAGTAGCTCTGCTCCTTTCCGGGCCAAATCACCATGGCAAGAAATCCCCGTGTAGATTCATCTCCAGCAGAAAAACATCCAGGCAGCAAACATTTCCTTCCCACAACCTGAAAACAGCCAAATATCATCGGATTTCTTTCCTGCCGTCAAAGAAACCCTGTCCTGAGACAGCTCATAACAAGTAAAGCATTTGCCCATAAAGCAAATGTGTTCCCAGGCAGTGACAGAAATATTTCGTGCACCCCACGAAGCTGAACACGCTTCACCCCCGGGAAGGCTGCAGAACACAGCAGGAACTTTCATTTGTAATGATTTATTTTGCTCCTGCCTTCCCTGTATCAGGATGCTTGTCTCTTACTCATCCTGTCTGTCAATATTGTCTTCCTGCAGCTTTTAAGTAAAATAACCCCCATGGTAACTGTTGTCAGGCCATGTCAGGACCACTGAGGCTTCATAAATAACACTTGATATAAATAGATTTTCCAGCAACACATAAACCATCAGCTCCAATGGAAGTAGAAGGGTTGTGTGCAGCCATCTGCATTTTCTCCTGTAAGGATAAACACATAAAGAAGTGTTTGAAAGCAAAATAAACCTATTGAAGAAATGGCCCAAACAGAAACTTCTGGAGCATGAGATTTCTTAGGAGGCTCACATGGAGACATTGACAGGAGCAGCCCCAGCAGAACCAGAACACACGGGCAGAATGGAAGATTAAAAATTCAGTTTAGTTTTCAAAAAGCATTTGGAATAGGAGCTGCATACCCATGCAGCGTTTTTTACAGTGTGGGGGAAATTCCCAATCAAAGTTTTCTGTCCAGAAAGAAATACTCCTCCAACACTGCCATTATCTCAAGCCTCCCCTGAAGAAGTCTCCAACCAAGTAATACCAACAAAGAAATTATTTCTACTTCTCCACTGGAATTCAACTCCCTGCGAGACGACCTCGAGACAGAAATTCTCATACCAGCAAGGTTTAAATCCACCCACACAGCACCCAGGTCTGCCTGGGCTCAGGGAGGGCAAAGAGCACGAAAATTCCCTGTACAGACGTGGCTGCCATAGGAACACAAGGCTCTTGTGGGCACCCAGGGGACACTGCCAGGGGCTGAGGGATGGGAGCTGTCACCCACGAACCCACCAAATCCTGCACTGACTGAGCAGCTGCTTCTCCTCCAAACCCTTTCTTTCCGTGCTGAAAATGCTGAAGAAGCAACAGGCCCGCGCTCTGAGAAGCGGATCCCATCCTGCTCCTTCCTTCCTTCCATCTGCTGAGAGCTGTGTGATGCTTCCAGAGAGTTCAGCAGAGCTAAGCCTGGCTCAGGGCAGGGCTCACAGCCCTGGCATGGATTTTAAACCATTTGATTTCGGCCTGTTAAGCCTCAGCAGGAGCACAACCACCCCGAGTGATCTCCTCCTGTCCCCAGGGCTCTGACACGACATTTTCAGGTTCTCTCTGCATCTTGACTAAACCAAAGGCTTGTTTAAATCCATGATAGAGATCTCAGGGCTTGTTTAACCTCCTAGCTAGCCCAAGGTTGAATTTGTTTCAGTGCATCTCCGTGTTAACACTGCTCTAATTTCAAGGTATCTGGATCATGACTGGGAGCCAGGAGTAGGGGTGCAGGAGCTCCTCAATTAATCCAATTGTTCCACACATCTCAGGATTATTTTCCAGCTTGCCAACCTGAGCTCCTTGCTGCAATAATCCTTTATCTACACTGAAATCACCTGGCAGAGGAGGTGTGCAGTTAAGCCTGGCTCTGGCACCTTGCAGCCCATCAGCTGCTCATCACTCCAGCATTTGTTCTGCTTCTCCACTTCGTTTCAGAGCCTGCATCAAACTCCACCTGCCAGGAAAAACACCACCCAAACCAGCTCTTTTTTCAAGCTTAAACTGGTAATTTAAAGCCTCCTCAAGCCTGGCAGTGCTACACTGCAGTGAGGACACACAGACATATTATGTTCCCCATGAATACAGAGCATTTGGTGTTTTTTATTGAAAATTAAAGCTCATCAGCAGAACAGAGAGCCTGGCGTTTACCTGGCACTGAACTGACACCAAGAGTCAGCTGCGTGTGGAAAATGACAAGGCGGAAAAAACGAACAGGCCGGGTCTATACCTTGTCTGAAACACCTCGGGGAATTTCCTCCCCTGCCAGAATCTTCCACCGGCCCTGTGCTGCCTTTGGGGTCAGCCCAGCCCGCACTCACCTGGCCGGGAGAGCCCCAAAGTGCCTCAGGGGCTGCTCTTCCCTGCACACAAAATGAGAACCGCGGCTCCAAAATGAAGGGATGGGAGTAGAACTGGAAAGCCTCTGCCTCACTCCCAGCTTTTATGGATAAAAGGAAAAAGGCACCAATAACAGGAGTGTATGACAGTGGTTAGTCCTTATTCTAGGAACCCTAAACGGCTTGCAACAAGCTTTGTTCAGGCATTTTCCTGCACTACCTACATCACTTCTTCCTACCCAAAATGTACCTTAAAACAAAAGAAAACCACACACGGTATCGAACGGGGCTTGCAAGTTAAAACCAGAAAATTTAAATATTTCCTGCCTCGACGTGCACTGGAAAATAAAAATAAAAAGGCAAATAAATAATTTTTTTAAAGAGAGAAAAAAAAAGGTTTAAAGCACATCACGAGAACAGGATCAAGGAAGAGCGAGGCCACCCCTTCAGGACCAGGGGAGAATTAACCTGCATTTCTCCATCCCATCCGCAAGCTTACGGCTCTGCCACCCATTTTGTCTCCGATTAAAGGGGGAAAAAAATTAATTAAAAAAATATAATGACCTCAGCGGCACAGAGAGAAGCCCCCACCCCGGGATGGATGCCCAGCGGTGCTGCCGGCCGGGCAGGTGACCCCGCCGCAGGTGCCAGCCCGAGCATCCCCCGCGCCCCTTCCCCATCCCCTGGAGACGCTGCCGAGCCGGCACACGGCGGCGCGGAGCACGGGGGAAGCTCTATTTATTTATTTATTTAACCCGCAAACGCGAAATGAAAGGGAGAGGAGGAGCGCAGAGGTGCGGACGGCGCGGCGGCCAAGGTGAAGCGCGGCCGGCGAACATGGTGGGGGCTGCGGGGAGCCGCGACCCTCCGGCCCGCGGCAGCGAGGGGCGAGCAGCGGGGATGGCACGGAGCTGACAGCGGGCGGGAGGCGAGGGGCGGAAAGCGCCGAGGGAAGAGCGCTGAAGGGAGAACGATGACGGGAGAACGCGGCGGGGAAGCGCTGAAGGGAGAGCGCGGCGGCGAGGCGCTCCCTCAGGGCTGCTCCCCCCGGGCGGCAGCGGGAGGACGGGCTCACCTGCCATGGCGGGCTGCGGGCGGCAATGGCGCTGGGGGCTGCGGCTCCGCTCCGCTCGGTCTCCGCGGCGAGTGCGGCGGGGCCGGGCGGCCCCGGCAGGCAGAGCACGGGGCGGGACGGGCTCTTCCTCCGCCCCCGACAAGATGGCGCGGCCCCGGCCCCGCTGCCTCAGGGCTCGGCCGCCATGGCGGCCCCGGTGCTCGGCAGGGGGAAACAGCCGCGTGTTCCCTGACGGTGAGGAGGCTCCAGCTGCAGGGATGTGCGAAGGGTTTATACGTGAAGGACACGAATTGCAGAGTCACGGGATGGGGCGGGTTTAAAGGGACTGCAGTGGGGTGTCGGGTCCAGCCTCCCTGCTCAGGAAGGGGCATCCCAGAGCACATGGCGCAGGATTGTGTCCAGGCGGGTTTGGAATATCTCTGGTGAGGGATATTCCACAGCCTGTCTGGGCAGTGGGGCACTGAACATGCTCCCCTGGGAATGGTCATGGCCTCAGGGATGGCAGAGCTCCAGGAGGGATGGGAAAAGGCTCTCAGGATCGTGGTGGGATTGTTGGGATGTGCTGTGTAACGCTGAGGGTTGGATCAGTGTGCCAAATCGTCACCATCCCAACCAGACCGGAGCACTGAGTGCCACATCCAGTCATTCCTTAAACACCTCCAGGGTCAGCCCATTGCAGTGTCTGATCACCCTTGCTGTGAAGAAATTCCTCCTGATGGCCAACCTAAACCTCCCCTGTTGTACTGAGGGAGGCTAAGTTGAGTCCCCTAAAAGATGACGTACCTCCACCACATCTGCAAGCACCATTTTTCTGAGATTTCCAGTTTTCTGGTGGGGGCCAGGACCAATGTGACACAAATGTGGCACCAATGTGACACCAATGTGACACCAATGTGACACCAATGTGACACATCCCCGTCCCAGCCCACAGAGCTGGGTGTTCTCAGGCTCTGCTGACGTCTGCAGCTCCGGTACCCAGCTCCGGCCTGTGCCTCTCTCACGTCCCTCTCGGCAACATCTGACATCCCTAATGGCCTCTGACAACGTTAACTCGCTCTAATGTGTGTCCTGCCCTTCCCAGAACGTGCAGTTCTCAGGCACAGCTGCCCGTGGCTCCGTCCCTTGCTCAGGGCTGTTGTGGGCAGCCAGGGCCGAGCTTTGGGGCTGATTCCTGCCCTTCGTCCTGGCACTGGCTGTCCTTGGGGAGACGTTGATGTTGCTGGGCTCTCCCCCAGCCCTGCTGCTGTTTAATCAAGGTGCAGCCCCCAGTGGATGGCAAAGTGCTCCCCAGCTGGGCCCTGTTTCACCCAGAGCTGCAGTTCTCTGTTGATTTTTCAGGTCCTTGCTGTCTGGGCAGTGTTTGGCAGCAGGAATGCTGGGGGTGTTTGCTCACCAGCTGTCCCACTCCCCCACCAAGAGGGTTTCATCTGATCCCATTAAAACCCAGAGCTTACTTTAAGAGCAGAGACCCTACGAGGCCTCTGGAGCATTTGTGCTTATCCTCCCATTATTTTTTTTTTCCACGTTCACTGCAACACTCTCCTGGTTAAGCTTCTGAAAGGTTCTTCCAGTGAGACATATGGGGAGCTATAAACTATAGAGGGCAGGGCTGAGGCACAGTGCTTGGTTATGGATATTGATCCTGGGCATTATTCAATACCTGGCCTTGTCCCAAATGTGGGCACAGGCTTCAGTGCAGCTTTTAAACCTTAAAAGCCTTTGTTTGTCAGGCTGGGGAGGTGACAGGAGGGACATGTTGGTGATGTCACATTGATGGAGGCTGCAGAGTTCTGCTGTTGACTGGAGTTTGTGCGTGCTCAGTGTCCCCCTGTGCTCAGCTCAGGGACAGACACGCAGCTCTGTTTGTGTAATTTTGGAGTGTTACAGTTTTCCAACCTGCCCTCCCCGGGTGAAAGGTGCCAGAGGGAAGTACAGCCAGAGAAAATACATCAGTCAGATGGAAATGCAACAGATAAGGACCTCAGGGTCCTGATAATCCCAAGGACAAGCCAGGGAAGGAGGATGAAGCTGGATTTAGTGCTCCAAGAATTGAATTTGACACAGCTAGTTCTTGAATTTGACACAGCTAGACCCCCCAGAACCATGGGCTCAAACCCTGTACAGCCTTTTCCAGTCCTTTTTCCTCGTAAATTTCCTCTTGCGTTAGATTTGTGTGAATCCCACAGATGGAGTCCAGCAATTAAGAAGAACCCAGCACTCCTGTTTATGGATAGCAGGAATATCTTCCACTGGATTACACAAAATAAAAATGAAACCCCTGCTGTTTCAACAGGGGCCTAGGAGGTGAGTGGACACTCCCCCAAGTAATCCCCAAAAAATGAACAACTCACCCACAGTGGTTTTTGTTTTTTTAGCTTCTCCCTCTGGAATATGGAGTGGTAACTGAGGGGAGGCCTGGTCAGAGCCTGGGTTTCACTTTCTGAGTTGAGGAAAGCAAATGTGAGCAGCCCTTGGTTAAAATGCCACCTCCAGCAGCTGCTGGGGAACCCTTGAGCCACGGGAATGTTTCGTTACCTCTGGGACACCCGTGACTTGCTGTTCCCCCAATGCCAGGTGGAAATCGAGGCAAAAAAACCCCCGTGTTTCTTTCTCAGAAAAAAAGTGTTTATTTCTCAGAACCCAGATGGGCTCTGCCAGCCGCGCCCAGCCCCCGGTTTGTCACCTGCAAAATGGAGAGGAATTTTTACGACGTTTAATTAGTGCAAAGTGCTCTCGGTAGCCAAGAGAGCTTTCGGTCCGAGCATCTCGGGCCAAGTTCTCAAATTGCGGCGGCTCCAGCAGCGACCCACGGGGCTGAGCCCCTGCAGGGAGCATCGGCAGCGCCTGGGTCCGTGTGGTGAATAAATGAGAACAGGACAGAGCTGCGGGTGCTGCCCTGCGGGGACCTCTCACCGCGCTTTCCCCTGAGAGAGGGGACCTGCCTTCAGCTTTGGGTTTGCAGAATGGTTTGGGAAAGGAGAGGAGGTTGTGGGAGCCAGGAGATGCAAACAACAGGAGATACTGACAACCAGGAGATACTGACAACCAGGAGATACAACCAGGAGATGCAAACAACCAGGAGAGTGCAAATAACCAGGAGATACTGACAACCAGGAGATACAAAAAACCAGGAGAGTGCAAATAACCAGGAGATACTGACAACCAGGAGAGTACAAACAACCAGGACATTACAAACAGCTAAGAGATGCAAACAACCAGGAGATACAGACAACCAGGAGAGTGCAAATAACCAGAAGATACTGACAACCAGGAGATACTGACAACCAGGAGATGCAAACAACCAGGAGGTACAACCAGGACATTACAAACAACCAGGAGATACAAACAACCAGCACGTTACAAACAACCAGGAGAGTACAATCAGCCCATCCCACGTCCCTCTGCCTCTCCCCGGGCCATTCATCCCAGGCTGTCAGGAATCCAGGGCAGGCAGAGGGCTCCAGAGTGCTCCCAGGGATGCTAACTCAGCTGGACAGCCTGTGCTCTGCTTGCAGGAAAAGGCAATTTTCTTGCTGCTGCTGTGTCTGGTAGCTCAGGGCTGTACCAAAGAAATGAGATTTCACTTGCTGAGTCAGGGCAGTGCCCGTGTTTGACAGGAGGAGGAGGAGGAGGAGGAGATGGGCTGAGTCACCTCTCCGAGTTCATGGCCAGGCTGCTTCCCAAAAGCACAGCTCCTGAGATGAGCCCTTCCATCCTGGCAGGAGTGGGAGCAGGAGGGGCCAGGAGAGCAGCCTGTGTTTGTCCTGCTCTCCTGCAGGGCTCTCCTTGCCCAGATGTTGAGTCTCTGCAGCCACATCTGGCTCAGAGGTGGTGTGGCAGCAGCAGAGCACAGCAGGAGCCAGGGGCTGATGGCTCCCCATGGTTTTGCTCTCCTGGGCACGCTCACCCTGCAGCTCTGTCCCATTGGATGCTCTCCCCATCAGATCAGCCCTGAGGGATCTGCAGGGATGGTCTCCAAGCTGGGATTTGTCACCTTGTGTCACGTTCACGTGGGGCTGCTCCAAGCTCTGGGAATAAAAGAGCAGCTGCTGTGGGCAGATCTGGATGGGCAGGACCAGAGCAGCTCATTCCCACTTAAACTACTTCCAAAATGAGCTGGACATGGTGCACTAAATCATTCTGAAGTCCATTAGAGGGATTTTATAGCACAGAATAAAAGAGGTCCTGTGCACAGCACAGGCAGCAGCGCCTGGTGGCTGCTTACTCATCCCTCAGCAGAGAAGTGAGAGCAGACACAGTCCCTGCTTTCACCCGCTGCAAATCGTTCCCCAGAGAGCAGGGATGGAGGAAAAAGGGTCACTTTTACCCTGTGACTCATTTAATCCCTCATGTGAGCACATAGCAACCGCGCTCGGTGACATCAGGAGTGACACAGACACAGCACAAGGCAAGATAAACAAACGGTGCTGAGGCTTGGAAGGGACCAGCAGCCCTCCGGAAAGCAGCTGCTGAAACTGGGCTGCCCAAGTGGTCACACACACACAGGAAAAGCAGAGCTGGAGGCAGAGGGAGAGCTGAGCCCACAGCAGAGCTCCAGGCAGGGCCAGCAGCTCAGGGGCTGGCTCTGGAGGCTCCCACAGCTCCAGCAGCTCTGGGCCTGGCTCTGGAGGCTCCCACAGCTCCAGCAGCTCTGGGGCTGGCTCTGGAGGCTCCTGCAGCTCCAGCAGCTCTGGGGCTGGCTCTGGAGGCTCCTGCAGTCCCTGCTCGCCCTGGCAGCTGGAGCAAGGCTCATCATGGGAGTGCAGGGTGGCAATTATAGCAGCAGGCATGCCACAGGGCTGCCAGGCTCTCTATTTATAGCTGCCCCAGCACAGCTCTGCTGTGTGCTCCTGCTCCCAGGTGAGGGCACAGGCCGTGCCCTGAGAGCCCCACAGGAACAGCACAGAGGAAGGACCGAGCACCTTTGATGGGAACAAAGAATCGGGGATGAAAGGACAGAAATCCACAGAGGGCCTGGAGCAATGAACTCAGACTTCCTCCCCAAAACTGCCCTGGAGTTTGTTAACCCCTTCCCTGCCCGAAGTGCCACCTCTGCTCCTCCTAATTGGTGCCAAGCAGTGTCACTGAAGTGTTCTGCAAGCTGGAGAATGGTTCCAGCAGAGGTGGCAGAGGGGCTGTGGGCCTGCCTGTCCCTCTGCAGCCCCAGCCCAGGGGCAGCAGCCCAGAGAGCCCCCCAGAGCTGTCCCTGTCCCTGTCCCTGTCCCTGTCCCTGTCCCTGCCCCAGAGCTGTCCCTGCCCCTGTCCCTGTCCCTGTCCCTGTCCCTGTCCCTGTCCCTGTCCCTGTCCCTGTCCCTGTCCCTGTCCCTGTCCCTGCCCCAGGGGTGATCCATGCACAGGGAGCTCCAGGGCTCAGCGTGGAGCTGAGCAGGATCCAGTCAGAGCTGCCTTTGTTTCACGGGGAGGATTAAACCATCACGAGCTGAAGTTGTCTCCTCGGCCATCTGAAACTCGATCGCCCGGCAAAGAGAGACCTCCACAAATGCTCTTTTTGTGTTTGAAGCTGGAGACCATCCACCGGTTTATTTTTAGGCGCACATTTGCACTGGCCCTGTTACAATCCTTCCTCTGTTCTTGTGCAATAAAAGGCAGAGAGGATTCTCTTGACCTTCAGTATCAAATACAGAGAAAATAAGGCATTTGTCTGAAAAGAACCACCCAAAATAGCAGGGAAGAGGTCATGCTGTGCTGTGGGCTGTTGGTGTTGAAAGACAAGGAAAATGAGGATTATAGGAGCTGGCACATTAATGAAAACTGCTAGAAAACTGTATGGTGATGCTAATTAGTATTTGTATGTTAAAGGACCTGAGATCTTTCCCTTTTACACCGAACACTTGCCTGAGAGTAAGCAATGATCCCTGCTGAGGTGAGTTCTCAGTTTTCCCTGAGGATCTGTTCTAGATGCAGAGCATTTCCTTGAGCTCAGGAACTGATGCTCCCACCTCACCCAGCTGATGTTCCCTGCACCCTGTGCCGCACACAATCATCACCACATCCATTCTCTGGCTTGCCTTTCCTCGGAGAAGCTGAGAAAAGAGCCCAGAGGCCCTGGATGTTTGATTTCTGTCCCATCAGCAGGGCCATCTGCAGCGGGCATCTCCCACTGACAGGAGAGGGAAGGTTAAAACCCCTCATGACAGGTTAACAGCATGATTTGCAGCAGCAGCTTAAATAAATGGTTGCAGGCAGGAAAGAGTAGCAGGCAGCTAATCCTTTAAAGACTTAAGAGCAGCTACTACTTCAGCCCGAGTAAATATTTCAAAACAAAATTAATTAGTGGTGACTAGTGGATTTGCTGCCCTTTGATTTAACATCCCAGGATGAAGCGGTGATTCCTGCACGGAATTTTTGCTTCCGTGCCAAAGCTGCTGTTCCCCGGGAGCTGGAGGTCCTCTCAAAGGAGATTGATCCCAGTTTTGTTCCTCCCGGAGCTGGGAAGGCCCTGCAGGGATCCCATGGGAGGTCCCTTTGTGCTGCCCCAGGGATGGGGGCACAGCCCGGCTCAGGATCCTGCCCCGGTGCACTGGGCAGGAAGGAAATGTCACTTCCTGATTCCTGCCAGGAGAAAGCCACAGAGCAGCTCCCAGTAATTGCCTTACTCCCCATCAAAAGCAGTTCCTCACACCTTCCCAGGCACAGGAAAGGCCTCAGGGGAACAAATCCTGACCCAGCACAAGCCGCCTCTGAGCAGCAAAGCAGGCAGGTCAATAATTGCAAACAATAATTTCTAATCAACAGTTGAGCATTTCCCTCCCCATGACCCTTGGCTCCACCACAGAACAAAGCCAGCTCTCTTGGGAGGCTCTGTCGTGGCCCTGCTGGACTGTCTGGACTATTTTTAGTCAAATCCAGCATTCCTAAAAATCCTCAGGCTGCTTTTGTGCTCAGGAAGGGGAGAGGAGCTGCTGAGCACGTGCACACCCACATTCCACACAGGACACAGCAGTGGGAGCACAGCTGGGTCAGCACAGAGCCCTGGGAAAGGGGAAAAATTCTTTATTTCCATCAGGTTGAGGAGGCAGGACTGCTCTGAGCTGGGAGGGGAACCAAAGGTGTCTGCAATGGCTGGGAGGCCAGGGAGCTCCTGGGGCTGGGTGATGTCCCCTCCACGCTGAAGGGACGTCCAAGGGCTGTTGGAAGGAACCCACAAGGATCATCCAGATCCAGTTCCTTCTCCTGTCCCCTTTATTTATCCCACTTAGGAGACCCCCCCATCCCAAACTGCTTCATCTCCTCCCTCCCTCTTTGCTTTTCCCATCCAAACTTCCCTTCCGCTTCCTCTGCTGCTCCCCAGACCCAAACAAACACAAACGCAGGTTTTGTGCCCCAGGAGAGGCTGATTCACGGCCTGGCGTCAGCAGGAGCTCTCCTGCCAGAGCTGCTGTATTTGACACACTCCAGCTGCTGCCAGCAGCTCCCGTGTCCCCTGTCCCTCCCCAGCCGGGCTGGCAGCCTCAGAGATGGACAGGGAGATGCTGAATTTAACAATTGCACCAGTTCTGGAGTGCAGCGCTGGGACTCAGAGTGCTGTGGGCAGGCTGGCACTGCTGGGGCTGTTCCAGCTCTGCCTCCCTCGCTCCAAGGCCCAGCAGAGTTTGTGGTGCACTCTGACACCTGTGCAGGTGGGAAGGACAAAGCTGTGCTTGCAGAGAACACAGAACTTTATTGGTGTGAAATGCACCCACGTGCATGGCTGCTCGTTGTGCAGTTCTGCTCTGGCCCCGCAGAGCTGGAGGCTCTGAGCTCCCTGAATGACACAGCAGCAAAGCTGGCAAAGCAACCCAGAGGGGTTTGGTCAGCACTGACTACACAGAGAACTTCTCCTCACTGGCCTGGCCACGTCTGCACAGCAAATTATCCACACAGAGGACTCCAAAGCTGGAGTTCAGGTGTCTCCAACAGCCACATCAGTCCAGCCCAAGATTTTTGGTATTTAGACCCTTGAGTCTGGGTTCCAATCCTCCTCCCAGTACCCATCTGGTTGTTGCAGTGCCAGGCAGACTCCAGCAGCAGTCCCTGGGAAGGATGAGCAGGTTTTGCCAGCAGCAGCACAGGCAAAGCTGGCTCAGGGAGGTGTTTGTGGGGAAATGAGCTGGCCAGGCTGACAGGGGGCTCTGGAGCCAGTGCCCTGTGTGGAAATCACCTCCCCCCTCATCCCACTTGATTTACCCCAGGACCAGTTGGGAAGCGTTTCTGATGGACAGAGAGCAACAGGAGAATTTAATGATGGTCTGTCTGCAAAGGTAACCCAACAATAACCACAGTGTCACGGAAAGCTAAATTAAACTCTAGAAAACGCTCAGAGGAAAAACAAATTGCTGCTGCAACCAGCTGCTCTATTTTTGGAAAACTGCAAGGATTGCCTCGCCCAGGAAGAGCTCCCCAGCGAGGGGAATTATGCAACCCCGAGAGGAGGGAAAAAACCCCACAAATCCCAAGTTCTTGGCAATTCCTTTTGGTCAACGCCCCCCAACCGGGAAAACCTGCACGCCTCCAGGCCGGGCCAGCAGCCTCGCCCTGCGGCACCCAGGGGCGCTGCCAGCCTAATTAGGGCGGGTTCATTAAGAGCTCAGTCGTCGAAGTCGGGGATGTCGTCGTAGGAGTAGCCCCGGTAGCCCTTGGAGGCGTAGTAGGCGATGCGCAGGTGGTAGAAGCCGGGCAGGAACACCAGGATGCCGATGATGAGCACGGGGATGGCGCGGTCGGTGTCCTGCAGGGACAGGGCACGGGCTGGGCACGGGGCAGCTCCAGCTTTGGTGGTTTGGGCTTTAATTTTGGTGTTTTCAGCTTTAACTTGGGTGTTTTCATCTCTAGCTTTGGTGTTTTCATCTCTAGCTTTGGTGTTTTCATCTCTAAACTTTGGTGTTTTCAGCTCTAACTTTGGTGTTTTCAGCTCTAAATTTGGTGTTTTCAGCTCTAACTTTGGTATTTTCAGCTCTAAACTTTGGTGTTTTCATCTCCAACTTTGGTATTTTCAGCTCTAACTTTGGTGTTTTCATCTCCAACTTTGGTGTTTTCAGCTCTAAC